GTAATTAGTTTAGCGGTTCATTATGGTAAAAAACAGACTGACAATCAGTTCAGCATTTATTATGAAAAGGTAACAAAAAGACCGACAGACTTTCACGTTTGTAATATGGATATCAATAAAATATAACAACATTTAATTGCAAGGAGCGCCGCTTAATTTCTTGAGGTGTACCTACACGTATGAACAAAGAAATTGAATGAAATAAAATAAAATATAAAACTTTCATGACCTGCGTTATTGTTTAAAAAAATTAATAATGATAAAATATTTACCTTAGTTGTTTGTACAATATTGATGTAATAAAGAAATATATATAATATAATATATATAGATTAACTGCTAATCAATAAATTTGTTTTTTTTTGTTTAATCAAAGTTAATTCTTTTTAAAATAGATATATTTTTTCATTATGTTGGCGATTATAATATAGTATGTACCTTAAAGAAAATAGTAGGTACACAATTGTTTATCGTTATTTGTTTTATTTTATTTCGATGGACATTTTTTTTTTAATTTATGAAATGGCGAGTGACAACTACGACAAATAAAAAAAAATAGACCGTTAATTTAAATTTAATAAAACGAGACATTTCAATACATGTGATAATATAGTAAATGCAGAAAAATATTATAGTACGATATAATATTTTCTACATAATATGATAAAATTGAGGAAATACAGTAATTAATTATAAACATTAATATATAACATAATATTAATATTATAAACACGAAAGTATGTGAGTCTGAAGGATAGATGGATGTTCAATTCTAGACAGTTCTAGACAAAAACTACTGAAAAGATTTTTAAGAAACTTTATATATCATAATAACACATATGCTATAAAACTCATGCGGTTCACCCGCATGAGTTTTATAGCATATGTGTTATTACACAGCTAGTATACTATATTTTATAGCTACGGGCAGTAATCCTAATAACTAGTTATATTATTGGCGAGTAACAGAATCGTATTTCATTTAAAAAAACTTACGATCCTTTTAAAACTGAGGCGAATCGCTAGTTTAATTATAAAACTTCAAACGATTTTGTGTTTTTTTTTTTAAAAATACACTCATGTTACTTATGGTAGAAAATATTTTTATAACACAATTCCTAAAACTATTTGTACGTGGGTTTGCTTGTCTTGTTTTAATTGTAATAAACGTAAGCGGTTAGTTGGTAAATCCAAATGTATGACGCAAATGACTCAGGTACGATTTCATGGTGAATGTCATTAAATGTGTGTCATTTTGTTGACGAACTATTGATATAATATTCCGCGATCGGTTTCTGTAATTTACCTTACGTTCGTAAATCATTAATGTCTCGATGTTTTGTGGTTGCGTTACAAATCATTGTTTATGTTTACTATACGGTTAGCGTTTTTATATTATTGCAAGTAACTTACTCTTATATATATAAGCATATATATACTTAACTTACATATATATGTATTTTACTTACTCTTTTAGAAGTAAGTTAAGTCTAATATTTAATTCCTGGATTTATACATTAGGAGTTAGTATATATATGTAAATATAGAATTCGTGCCCTAGATTTATAAATGAGAAACTATTAATTTATGTTTGTAAATAAGAAATGTTCTCCCAGATATTTTGTGGTTAGGTTACAAATCTTTGGTTATATCTTTATGTGGTGATATCAGGTGGTTTATCAAATTATATAAGAACGAATGTTTCACATTCCAAAACATAAAAAGATATAATTGAAATCTCCGTAAAGATTAACTATACCTACTTTGACGGAGATTTCAATTAAATTAACTTTTGTGTTTATGTAAATATATATAAATATAGGATACCTAACCTTATTTCAATCGTATTATTTTTAGGATATCTATGTAGTTAGTAAAAATTTTGCCATACATACTTATGCATGGCCAAAAGTTCTCTACTAATAAATATTTTATTCTATTTCATATCTAATTCTAAGTAATTATCGTAATAAATGGTATGTATTAGTCACATCACAAATATATTAATTACGGTTATCTTTTAATATGAATGGAAGTAGGTTTACCTAATATAATATGTTAAATTACATAACGACTGGTTAAACCGTAAACCACTTGAAAATTTAACAAAGAAACACACCTGCAAACTCAGATGTTAGTTATTATATTAATTAGGTTTTCCTTTCCTTTCCTTTCATAATATTTTTCGTAATATTATTTAGACAGAATATTAATCATTATCTAATATTAATAAAAAAAACTTGACGTTTACCAGCGAATAAAATGTCCTAAATGAATGAAGTCGATAAAAATTATTCAATAAAAACCCAACATTCTAAGAGATTGGTATTATTTGTTAATGTTGCAAGAACAATTCTCTTCCGCATATAAAAGCGGATATAACCAAGGATCTATAATCCCTTTATCTATTATCTTGTAGTCTGATATCCGGTTTTGAAAATAAATTACGCTAACGATAACAATTATGTATTATTTAAAACATTTTTCCAAGGTGGACTTTATACAAAGTCGACTTGATCTTAGTCTTACATATTTCAACCCCAAAGCAGTTTGCTTTGTATACTGTGTTACGGTATAAAGATGAGTATAAGGCAATCCTTTTGTTTTCGGACTACTCTAATGCTGGTGGCCGCAGCTGGCCTTTACAGCTTCATCGGACGATAGGGGGCGAGTGCAGATGGCACTGCAAACCCGCGGATGGACTTATGGAACGCGTGAAGGCCAACTCCAGCCTGACGGATACGATTTTAGTCTGAGGGCACCGCTAGGGGTTCGAACCTCAGGCCGTAGTAATATCTATCTCCGTTTGAATTGAACGGGGGATCGCTCGGAGGGGGGTGACACAATCCTTAGGAATGGCAACACATGAGGGCTATTATGTATATCACAGTATCATATGGTAAAGTGTTGTACGTATTGCTGTTCCTGTACAGGCGAAGGTTGTCACTTACCATCCTCTGGGTTTTATCTCTTATTATTACAATGCAGGACAATTTACACAAAGCCATCTGGTCCCAAATTAAGTTTGTGTTATGGGTACTAGTATGATTCTTGTGTCTTCATTATGAAGACATCCAACAATCAATACAAACAATCATACTCGTGAATAAATGATTGTACCATGCGAGGAATCAAACCCGCGACCGTCGGAGATGTTTGCTAAACCAAAGCTGATAATGTCTGTGTATAAAAAAAAAATTAAATGTTAAATTAATTCTTTTCTTTCGTATATATTTTAATATAATACATCGTAGTAAAAACAGAATAAAATCATTAAAGAGCATTTTACTTAAGTACCTTTCAATCTATATTATTCGAAATTTCATCCCCTAATTCACAAATCAAGATATATGCTACAAAAGATAACCTGTCTATAAAATATATCATTCCTTGTTAGACGTCGTCATATCAAATTTCATTAGGATCCTTTTAACAATACAGGATTAATGTTTACATTGTACTGGGATCGAATCTGTGACCGTAAGACAGTGAGGTTGTATGAACACTAACATCAGGAGGGAAAGAAATTCGTAAAGGGAATCAATTTACCGTCGCATATCGATCTCCACAAATTTCTGGTAAATTCGCAATAATTAAATAACTGACCGTACTTCAGGTCCATTTTATCATTAACCATTATTGTGCCACCAGTAATTTGGAATGAATCCTTCATTTCGTGTTTTATGAGGAAAGCATTCCATAAGAACTTTTTTTGTCAATTTCCATTTAACGTGTAAAGCCGCGGTAAGGACTAGTCTTTAAAATTCGTTGTTTTGCATATAATAGGGATAAATGTTTACATATAATTCTGTAATTACAATTATAAAAAACCATATCGTCCACTTACAAGGAAACGATCCTAGCGCGATTGGAGTGGCACAAAATACGGCCAGGTGGGGAATACCGCGTGCAGACGTAGGTCATTGACACACATGCATGGGTACGTCAAACCCACATATAAAATCATACGCAACAATGTGCTAATAAATACAAATTATGCCAATATTTACATTATATTGGTGAATTTGTCACGATGGGCTACCTGACCTGACCTTATGCTCATGTTATCATCTGCCACTGGTGCCCTCCCAGTGTAAACCGTTAACGCTTACGGGTGCACCATTCCATTATCATCTACAAAAAAAAATTTTCATTATGTTATATACTAACAACATACCCCGGCATCGAGCGAGTGTAATTATTCTTATGACGTCTATCCATACCAATAAATTCGAAAGCGTTTCAGTCTGTCTTTTTCTATACCACGAGGACGAAATACATTTTATGTAAAAAAAGCTGGTAAAATCAAGGTAACAGCTAGTGTAAAATATAATACATCCCATATTATTAGATGCAGTAAGTTCCTGTAGCTGAAAGAATTTCAAAAGAACAAATGAATATATTTATTTTATTTATAAATTACTAATTTCTGAGATTAATCAATCTTACACCCATAGACTTAGATCTGTTTAAAAAATATATACCTATATTAGTTGCATTCCTTATAGGATTAAAAGTAAAGAAATAACAATACAAACACCTATTGTATTGGAATGCCCATTCAATTTCTAAAATTACCGTGATTTTAATTAAATAACACATTATCTATATCTACTATTTTAATTATAATTTTTATAATTCAAAATAGGAATAAAGTTTTCAACTTATTCTTATAAAATAATTGAATATAATCGACCCTAATCCCTCCTAAATTTGAATTTCGAATGCTGCTATTAGATACAAACAAATAACTATTTAAATGTGTTTCAATAAAGTTTATTTCCAAATACATTATTTATTTCATGTTTTGAAACTTATATGAGATCTACAATTACTTGGTCTAGAACCACCACAGATTCAAAATTTAAGGGTTGATGGTTTTCCATGGCGTCGCAGGACCGCGCGAGGGGCACGCGGGACGCGGAGTATGACGCATGCGCGACGAAAGGCATTGCGGGGTGGGAGGCAAGCGACTAACACTATTTAAACTGTTCTTGCGAACGGTCATCATGCATTGGTGTGTTTGCAATCCAAAGTTTAGTTAGCCTTAGTATTACGACAGCTCGAGTCGCAGACAGACAGGCAAACGCCCGTGGTCGAGACATAAAGCTCCCGCAGACTTACGCTAGCTGAGCGCGCAGTGAACTATAGTTCAGGCCTTACTGATCCCAGTGGTGTGTTTATTGGAAGATATGGCCGTTGCCGCTGCCCAGAAAAACCGCGAAATGTTTGCCATCAAGAAATCCTACAGCATCGAGGTGAGCAGCTAGCCTTTGCAGGCCAGGGCTCGCCCGGCACCTGCAACCCCCAAGTTTTCCTGGACGGTCACCATTTAACACCGTTAAAGTTTTGTGAACACCTTTAAAAGTTTTATCATATGTTTTTGTTTACATTACTATTGTATATTTTAAATAACCTGATTTGATATGACCGTCCATGAAAGCGAAGGTTATATTTTTTGTTTACAAACAAACAATATATAAAATTAATAACAACTAACAGAATATCAGAATCACGTAAAGTAACAAATTGATTTAATTCATTCTGAAGAAATGAATCACCTTAACCAATGTCCCATTAACTTAATGATTTGATAATGGTATACTAAAATTTTAGTAACGGCATTACCGCGACATCGTCTACGTTTCATTTTCTTATAACATAAAACGACATAAATTGTACTCTTAGTACAATTAGACACCTTCCTAATTAGACTATTCAATTTAATTACATCTCCCGCGTGTCGATAATGTCATTTTAGTATTTATTGCTAAATTACCGCTAACTGTTTAGGTACATACGAAACCTGACGTTTCCTACTTAAATCATATTAAAATTGTCCAATCTTCGCAATTAAATACGAATTATATAAAACATCGCCTTAAATTCATAAGAAAGTGATGCCGGCACTAAATATCAGTGGCCGCAATTTTAAAAAGTTGCATTTACACCGGCCGCTCGTGGTTTAATTGTCCAAAGATCACTGGACTGCACTACATCATGTCGGCACAGAATACGGGGTCGTAATGAATGAATTAATGATAATTAATACACCATAATGCGGCCCTGTAGGTATACACTTTCTCGAGACCACAACAACATCACGTGACTACAGTTGCATAACGTCTGAGGGAATATTTTTTATTACCTAAAAAGAAGATAAAGTTATTGTTTACAAAAGTTCCTCGCCGGAACTGCAGCTGTTACTTTATTGTAGACGTCTAGTCCATTCGCCATAATTATATTCCCATCATTGTGTGCTAACAGATTAATTACTACTATTGTCAACATAAAACGTCAACACGTAATACTTGGAGTCAATCTTTAATTTTTGTATCGCGGTAGTCACATGTATTGTAAAATATCCTATTTAGTATGTGCTGATTAGCTGATGCGAAATTGTCTTGCGAATTGTCTCAGACATTGTCTATAATGCTTTTTAATAATTAGGACAGTCATCAAAATTTCATTCACAATCATCATCGCCCGTTATATCGATTTTAAGAATTCACAAGTGATATCGAATTGTAGTAGATTTGCGTTGCTTATTATACCATTTTCCTTTGTTGATATCTTCTTTAAACGCTGTGCGATAACTGGGTATGAAACTAACGTGTAGCTAATTAGCGTTTATTTTATAATTGGTGCCTGAATGATTGTATTTCCTTGACCATCGAAGGTCGGAATGCAAAGAGGTGCGACGCGGACGCTCACCAATACACTGCAATTGTTAAAGATAGTTCAAATTCAATCAAGTGGCAATACCAATCTTAATCTAATCTATGTAACCTACCTCTAGATTGTATTATTTGCAACTAATATACGAAATTTGTGACCCATAAGTCCCTTTAATATAACACAAACAAATCTATTGTAAATTGCAGTAATGCATGCAACCAAAATTACCTATTTTGTAGGTATAAACGTAATCGAGGTCTTCGTTGCGCCCTTGACCAATTACCTCGGCGTGGTCAAAGTATTGTTGCGGATAATCTCATCTATTTAAAGATATTGCACTTTATTGTCATTAAAATAACGTTTAAAAAAGTCACCATCTGTACGTTGTCGCCGTTCAAATGTGAAACATATGATGGACAATGTTTTGCCGAATTCTTTGATGTGTTGTCAGGTAGACAATGGTATAGGGTGGCAGGTCGGAGTCGGCGGGCGCTCTCTGCTTTCGGTTAATTACCCGCCGACCGATTGGAACGGTGAAGTGGCCACTCGAACAGACCAAGGCTATATCAACCGGATTACAACTCCTGCCTCTCCAGTTAGGCGGACCTTTAACTTCATAATACACCGATACCGCTGTTTCCGCAATTTCAATGCCGGTCACCGTGTAAATAGGACGTAAATGAAAGCAAGTCGTAGATTAAGCTTTCGGGAGGGCGTAATTATGCACTACTTTATTTCAGGGGCTCGGTAACAATCGCAAGTGATTAGTGCAACCCTTGACATACATAGTTAGGTTCTCGCAGCCACTCTAGTGGAAAATTCTAGGTCTCCACGCCGACGCCCGCGCACTTGACTTTATATCGGCTATACGCGCGCTTACACTTCATCAACGGAAAATGTTAATCTAAACTATAAGAAAATATCGAATATTTCAAATTTGTCATAAAAAAGATAAACTAAAATCCACATACAACCAGTTTTAATAATTGTTTCACATATAGCAATGTTATCAGTAACATGGACTTTATTGTAAATAAAAATAAAGAACATTAATTTCGGCGTGTAACTATATTATTAAGTACAAGAAAAATCAGCTAGTTATTAGTTTAAAGTCATTATATATGCGAGCCACAAATTTTGAGATAAATATGGAATTGAAAGTATTAGTTGAATTGTAAATTTTTTAGTTAAAACTTAACGATACTACACTCTTACATTAATAATAAAAATCTAATCAAAATATTTAGTTATTTTTAATTAAAGTCGGAAAATCTTAAAGTTTACAAAATCTATTAAAACGTAACAATAGTCGCAATATAGCCTTGCCGACAACTATAGTATGATTTTACATATTTTAATGTTCCATATTAAAAACCATTATTAACATATAAAAAATTCAGATTCAAATATAAAGAACACAGCGTGAAAGAACATAGTTCAATAGCTGAAATATATAACTTAGTAATTTAGTTTAGTTTATTAGGACAATTATTCTAAAGATCTATTTTTTAAAATAGGAATACTGCCCAGCCATTGATAATTTAAGAAGCAGAAGATAGAACCTTTACATCTTTGATTAAACATATTTTTCTGCTAATGGAGCAAATATCTATTATACATACATAAATATAATATAACTATATGTAATATACTAGAGAAAATCAATTCTCTAGAACAGTAGAAATATGGAAATATGTCAGCAAATGTGAAAATGAGTCTACAACAATGCAAAGTTAGCATTCAAAGTTGTAGTAATTGCCTCATTCGAGCGCAGTGGTCCAGAAAGCGTTGCTCCTTTCAAAGACTTCCAACGCGAGATGTCGCTTCCGGAGGCTGCGAGGGTCGCGAGATCTGGAATAATGGCTGCACTTTACGCCCGACCACACTCAGGAAATAAGCTTAGGAACTTCGTAAGAGCAATTCCTACTCACATATGAAATATAACGCGATGTGACCGCTTTATATTTATAAGGATTTAGAAGATTGCGTTATTTTTAGACGCGCCTTTTGTGCTCGAATGAACTTTTGTGTTAGAATGAACTTGATTTACGAGTTCTCTTAACTTTAAAAGGACTTAAGTTGTAGTTAAAATAAAATAAAAGTAGATATGATGTATTAAGATATATAATGTAGTTGTTAAATAGACTGTTATAATAGATAATCTTTAGTTGCGATTAGATTTTAATCTTCCGATAAATTTTAAAACTTAATACATGAATCTTTTAATAATACGAATAATTATGAACAACAGCATCATCTTGTCCCAAACTTATAAACTATTACTACCCTAAAGTACTGATAAACATACGTACAAGTATAATAGTTTTTTGGAAATCTGTTCATGATCTACATACTCATAATTACGAGAATCTTTATGACTATTTTATAATCATCGTTCCTTCCACCTTGACTATACCTATCTATATATAATGATATAATATTTAAATTAATAATACTACATATATTTAAATGATAAATACTTATAATATTTGTATAATAATTATACTTGAACCAATTATAAACAGTAAGCACTCAATCACTAAATACTTTTAATTAAAATTCAAATATCATTGACATACATAAAGCGCTCCAGTGAATGCTAACTAACCAAAAAAGGCTACGTTTATATATTGCAGAAATAATAATAAGAACCTATGTAGCTGCTGTTACTGCTAGGTTTATATTCTTAATGAGAATTTAAATTAAATCATTATTATTAAATTTAATCAGCATGTATAAGTGAATCAATTATGAATAATTATTTTTAAATATCGAAGTACACATAAAGGAATTATCTTGACTACTGATCAATTAATTCTAGAACTATTGAAGTTAGAAATTTGAATATCGAATATTCGTTTATTTATTGAGTGGATTTCAATTAAGGATAAATTTCGTTGAAATCTCGCGGTAACTACGGTGACGTACTAATGCGGGTGATTTGTTGGAAACAACGTCGTCATCATTGTCAGCTTCAAATCCTATACTAAACTAATCAGAGCTCGTTGTACATTCAGCCTTGGCCTCTCTTGTTTAGTAATTTAACAAACTGTTTTAATTCTGATGGTCGCAGGTTCGATTCGCGCATAATATACATACAGTTGTATTCATGAGTATAATTGCTTGTTTTCTATTTATATATATTCTCAATAGTTCTTTAGTGCCCATAGTTCAGTCTGCTTTGTTTAGGACTAGAAGACACTGTATTCATGGAATGTTTATGATTTGTTACAGAACGGCTACCCATCCCGTCGTCGTTCCCTTGTAGATGATGCTCGTTTTGAAACGCTGGTTGTGAAGCAGAACAAACAAAGCGTACTAGAAGAGGCTCGCGCTCGTGCCAATGGTAAAAATATAATTGTAATAATAACAAAAAAAATATACTCCATACAAACTTCAACCTTCTTTTATAGGGATTTTTTTTTTCTTTTATATTTTGGTTAACATTTTTTTTTTATTTTGGTTATTTTTTTTAATCTTAGACTCTGGCTTGGACTCTGAATATCTCCAAGACGGAGTTCATATTGGTAACGACGACAACTCACCAACTGTCGAAGATGGAACCTATCAAGATGAAACTAAAAATGGGCAACTTGGTAATTTTGTTTTTATTTTATTTTCATTAATTACATATACTTTATTATTTTATGTTTATTTTTTTTTTGTTTTCTTTATTTTTAATTTATTTTATTGTTTTATTTAGCCGACGCCGACATAGGCGATGCTGCGAAATTTGATGAAGGTCAGTACAAAAAAAGTCTTTTAAAACTAAAAATTATATGATGGTTTTGTCAATTTTATACGCGTCGGAATTTAAAAGTTTACGTATAACTACTCAACCACAATCACTCAGTCGCTTAAAGTAATTGATGGGAAAATATATTAACTGTTATGTCAATTAAAGCATTAGTCTTCAAATTTATCGTAGGCGCTTTGCATAAATAAAACAGTAAAATATTGTAGAAGTAAGCCAAAATGTTTAAATATTCGATTATAATTTAATAATATTTTTACAGATTACACCCTAACTGAAGAGGAGGTAATTTTACAAAATGCCGCTAGTGAATCCCATGAAGCCGAGCAGGCTATTCAACAAGCTGCCTTTTTGTTGCGCATGCGCGATGGAATGGGTTCTCTCGCTCGAATCCTGAAAACCATCGACAACTACAAGGGTTGTGTCCAACATTTAGAAACCCGACCTTCTCAAATGACCGGGGTCCAATTCGATGCTCTCGTTAAAGTTAGCATGTCACGAATCAACTTGCTTCAACTGATTAGATCTCTTCGTCAGTCGACAGCTTTCGCTGGTGTCAACCTTGTCTCTGAAAATAATATCTCGAGCAAGACACCCTGGTTCCCTTGCCACGCCTCTGATCTCGATAACTGCAACCACCTTATGACTAAATACGAGCCTGAATTAGACATGAACCATCCTGGTTTTGCTGATAAGGTGTACAGAGAGCGAAGGAAGGAAATTGCCGAAATTGCCTTCGCTTACAAATATGGAGACCCAATCCCCCACATCACCTACACAGAAACTGAGAACGCCACATGGCATAGAGTATTCAAGACCGTTCTAGATCTCATGGACAAGCACGCTTGCTCTGAGTATATTGCCGCATTTGGCAAGCTCGTGGCTGCTAAGATCTTTGTTCCTCACCAAATTCCTCAATTGGAAGATGTGAGCAACTTCCTCCGCAAACACACCGGTTTCACAGTACGACCAGCTGCTGGTCTTTTGACCTCCCGAGACTTCCTGGCCTCACTCGCTTTCCGTGTCTTCCAGTCTACGCAATACGTCCGGCATGCCACTCGTCCATTCCACACTCCTGAACCGTAAGTTTTGATACATATATATATATGTAATTTAAATTATAAAATGCATGTATGGTAACCCGCTGTTACGTGATATAGGCTATTGTAACTGCTGACCATCAGGTGGATAGTAGGTTTTTTCCATTCCAGTTTCACCCTACCTGATATTGTGACCTTATACCCTTCATGTATATAGACGAATTTTAGCGTCTTTTATCAGGTTTATTAGTACTTATTACATAAATATTTAGTTTTAGATATGATATACAATTTATCTATTGTTTGCTAGCGCTGTCCATATTTTTGTGACATCGACCTCATGACGAGTAAAAAATAAACACTTACTGTTTGTATTAATAAAAAATCAATTCATATAGTGAAGTAACAGTCATTTTTTTTCATATTACAATAGTAACTTTCACATTCGTAAATTCTTATATACAGTGGGCCTATAGTAAATGTTAATTAAATTATTACGTTATGTAACTGCCAATAAATAGGTAAATCATGTAATTTAGAATAAGTAATATGAAGTGTGGGAATCTTCATAAATAAAACAAACAGTCGAAACCTGTCTGACCAGTTTTATAGCGGAATCTGTAATTATGATTGCTATTGCTAACCCGTGGTTTTTCGAATATGTACCTTTTTTTGTTAGACAGCTATTAAATTCTTTATTATTTGAATCATCGGGGTATAAATATTATTTTGATTTTTAAAACATTAGAGTGTTCTTCCTTTGCTTATTATCTACGATTATACTCTCTTTTGTAGCATTTAAAAATGATTTTACATAATATTACGTAATATCGATCTATATCTTATGTATGTAATATAAATAAATATATTATTTTCTATATATTTATGACAGTCGCTTCGTCGGACAGTCGGGAAAATAAAAAATAATAAATTACATTTTTGTTAAACATATAAATATTATATTTCCATTCTCATAATTATGAATATCCATTATATGGAACTTTAGTATTAGATATATGTATCAAAATATTTATAATCAGTGTACTTAATCTATATGAATATTCAATTAATTTCATTTAAAGAAATATAAATCACTACAGTATAATTGACGGAAATTCTATACAAATCTGTCACTCAATTAGTGCATAATATATGTCAAACATATATAACATACTTTGATAAATAATTTAACATTACGGATAATTAGGCTCAGAAATGATAATTACTTGACAAACACCTTGACGGGTGTTTTACGGAAACATTAAGTAACGGCTATATCCTTGTAGATGTTATGTAAATTAAGCCAATCGACATACAATTGTAAATCAGTACCAATTATATTGTACCTGTCAATATAACAATTCCTATACGGTACAAGGCCCCCTTCCTTAAATTATAACCACGACATCGCTTAACAGTTGTCTAACTACATTTTTAACGTTTTATATGATACTATCTACTCGCCCCGGCTTCGTCCGGGTGTACATGTATTATTACATATATAAACCTTCCTAAATCACTCTATTAAACCGCATCAATATCCGTTGCGTAGTTTGAAAGATTTAAGCATACATATGGACGTACAGACAGCGACAGCGACCTTGTTTTATACTGTGTAATGATTTTGACTCAAACAATTTTTTAGAAACTACTAAAATTTAGAAACAAAAGACATATACATACATTTGAATACGTACACTATTTGAAAAATAAAAAGTATAGGGAAATGAGCCTTTTATATATATTCTATACATATAACATAGAAACAGTAGTACCTCTAGCTAGTATCTCTACCTAGTATTCTGGGCAAAAGGGGCTAACTAACTATAGTAATTTTCTGTACATTTTTTAATAAGAAATACAGAGGAAGAAATGCAAATTTTACAGCATTCATTCCTTAACTTTGCATCAGGACATTCACAATTTGTATAGTCAATTTGAGCTGGGTATTTGATACACGGGTATTCGATAATTTAATACCCCCATAAATAATCCGGTCTAAGTCACGTAATAGAGACAACCAGGGAATCGTTTTGCTGGTTTAATGGAAGCGGGTATACCGTGATGGGAACTGTAATGTCGTTAAACGTCTCGCTTTAATTTAGTTTCAATTTACTGCGTTTGAACGTTAACTTTTTAGTAGCATCAAAGGCGAGATGTTATCGAGTTATTAACTTCCAGTTCACTAAGTAGCGCATGACTGCACCGTAGTAATAACTTCAAAGTTAGTTCAAGGCTGCAAACTATTATTTAACATTGTTAATGTAATATTTTATAACATTTACGCTTAGTTTGTTTTATTATTTATTTAACCTTAAAATTATTAATGCGGTTATTTGTGATTCTATATATTACGTGGTAGCGTATATAGCAGCTATCCTTCGATTTAGTTAAAGTGGTTGATGGACAAAATCTAACTTTAGTAATACGGTCTAAGAAAGATTTTGTACTTAATATATGAGATACAATACCTTAAGATACTTTATACTATAATATTATATATCACCTATACATATTATATATCAATAATATTTTTTTGCAGTGACTGTATACATGAGCTTCTGGGCCATATCCCACTGTTGGCCGATCCCAGCTTCGCTCAATTCTCACAAGAAATTGGGTTGGCATCACTCGGAGCTTCCGACACTGAAATCGAAAAGCTCTCTACTGTAAGTTCTCATCGTCAATTGCTCTAATTAGTTATAATTAATGTAATTAGGGCAAATACGCGACTTGGTACATCGGGACCATGCTATTGCGAATTTTGAATATAGCACTCAATACATTATATACATACCATCCTTTCTCAACCATTGAAATGTCGCGCCCCGCGATACATTTTAATATTTAATTTTATAACACTACATTAAAATACATTCGTTTAATAACCAAATCTTTTGTATCTACATATATGTAGTTTGTATTTATTATTTTTCAACAGACTGCAAATACCCTTTAAAAACAATCTCGACTCCACGCTTGCGAAACGATGCTTTCGACTAATTTATAATCTTATAATGAATTATTTTATGAACAGGTATACTGGTTCACCGTTGAATTCGGATTGTGCAAAGAAAATCAAGAGCTGAAAGCATACGGCGCTGCGCTGCTGTCTTCCACTAGTGAACTGTTGCACGCCATCAGTGACAAGCCAGAGCTAAGGCCATTCGAGCCTGCTTCCACTGCTGTGCAACCCTATCAAGACCAAGACGTTCAACCCATCTACTACGTAGCTGAGAGCCTCGAGGATGCCAAAGAGAAGTTTAGGTAAATATCTTAGAAACCTTATTTTCTTTACATTTAGTAGGTATACAAAAATATTAATGCTGAAACAGTACTGCTAGTATTTATAAGAATTCAGTGGTTTTTGGGAACCCACTATTACATTTAGTAAGCAGAAATTGGAATACAAACATTTATTTTTCATAGAAAACAATCAATATTCTTCTATTGAAGTACTTAAATCATTACATAGTATAAAACAAAGTTTCTTTCACTGTCTGTCCCTATGTATGCTTAAACCTTTAAAACAACGCAACGGATTTTGAAGTGGTTTGTTTTAATAGATATAGTAATTAAAGAGGAAGGTTTATATAATACATATACATCCGTGCGAAGCCGGGCCGAGGAGCTAGTAACATATAAATAAATGACACTTTAAGGTGAATGATGTATAGAACAGGTTCTAATGACGTATTGTTTGTAGACGTTGGGTGTCGACCATGTCCCGACCCTTCGAGGTGCGTTTCAACCCTCACACTGAGCGTGTCGAGGTGTTGGACTCCGTCGACAAGCTGGAGACGCTGATCGGTCAACTCAACACCGAAATGTTGCATCTCACCAACGCCGTCAAGAAGCTTAAGGGCTCTCACTTCGAGTGATTACCCTGTTATTAATCCACACCGGTTCAGTGCACGCGGCCTTGCCGTTTTCTGTATAGCTAGTTATATTATAGATATAAAGAGTGTTATTGACATGTGTAGAGCGAGTGAGTGTGAAAACCATTGGATGGTACTTCGTTGAATACTTTTTGTACCTTATTGTATTATTTATTGCCGAGTTCATTGCCCATGCCTCGGAAACTACACGGAGCTCTCGATTGCCCATTAAGGGAGGCTGTGCAGGTTTTGCGAGACCTTTACTACTAGTATTATTTATAATTTAAAACGACACAAAATAAAAAAATGGAGCACCAAAAAGTAAAAATGCCAAACAGAAATATATGTGTTTGAGTGAAAACAGATGTTTTATTTCTTGATCATTTACAAATGACCCGCTTTGGTGGAATGATTCCAATTACATATGAAGAAAATTACTTACGGAATCCTTTAACATTGATAGGAAACATAAATGATATTTTTAGCTGAAAAAAAATTATTCACCTCTTTGATAAACCTTTGTAAAGAATCTTTCATAATTAAGTTATATGAACAAAAGAGAAAAAAAGATGAAATCGAAAGAACTATTCGTAAGTGATCTTTACAGTCTTCTGATCATAACTTTGTTAAAAACGGTAGACCATAAGACATGTAATAGTTGTTTGTTCGAATTAGTAATTAAGACATATTATCTCCTTGGCAAAGGAAAACGAGATTTAGTCTCTAAGTTTTGAGCTGCAGTCAATTTAGATTAAAAGTGAAGCAAAAAAGCAATAAATTTAAGGACACGAGACTTTAAATTGAATAGAAGCTGTAAGATAAGCAAGTTTTAATGACTGATTGTTGGTACTCTATATATATGGTTATAGTCATGAATCGAACCCGTGATTATCAGAAGTAAGGCGGTATTTAAACCACTAGAGTACCGAGGTAGAAAATAAAAAATATAATTATCTAAAGATCTTAACTGAAAACTTCCTTCGCCCCTCATTGTTCTAAATTCTCTAATTTAGATTAAAATGAAGAGAACGTAACAAAAGTATTGTAATGATAGAAAATCAGCTTTAACTGCACCTTCAAAAAAGCAAGACTCGGATATCAATTAGAATTTTTAATCTAGAAATTCTAATTGATTTCCAACCCAATTTTTTAAACAATAGAATAATAAACGACTATTGAGTTTTTTTTAGAAAGACATTCTATAATAATAAATTGCAATAAATCTTTAAAAGCACTTACCAAATAAATATCCATCTTAGAATAAAATTTCCGAAATAAAAAGAATTATAGGAACCAATCAGCTAAAGGGGACATGAGTTCGGAACTCTCTTACCTGTAATAAGATTTGCGAAGGTCCCAGAGGGACGCCCATATTGCTCCGCGTATAATCGGATTGCGAAAAAATAAAATACTAATTATGATTGCTTTAAGCGAGCACAATTTTATTCAAAAGACATTGAAAATAATTATTCAATGTCAACAATTGTATAGTAATAGTGCTACTTCCTTTGTAATAAAAACTAATAATGTAATTAACAAGACTACTGGGAGACAAAAAGTGCTTGTTTTACAGAAATAAAGAATTGTCGCAAAAAAGGTATGATTAATATGAGAACTGGTCCTGGGACAGGTAAGGATGCGAAAAAATATTCAATTATGGAAAAAAATTATTTAATATTCAATAAAAAATCGTTTTTATCAATCGATATCAATATTACTAATATAGATTCATTAATAATCGATATTTTTTCAAATTATTTTTTCAACCGAACAAGTGACCTTAAAGAACAAGATCAAATATTTATGTACCAAAAAGTCAAGATTGCGGTTTGCAAAATATAAAAACTAAATGGTTATTTAAAAAAGAAACTAAGAAAACTCACAAACCATAAGACCTAAGCCTAAAAACTGGCCAATCAAATTTTAAGCCACAATCGATTTTTTAATCGATTATAATGCTAACAAACAGTCCATATTTTGGCATAATGTCACATCCCTAGGGGCAGGTACATCTCGAAACGAAAAGATAAAAAATGTAGTGCTTCATAAAAAAAACTGGTGTACGTTGACATTAACCGAGGTAATGGAGAGGCACGACCTTAAGTCGAGCAAGGGCATATTAGCTGACGCAGGTCGCGTAGAACTGATCACAATGAGCATACCACCGCGCAATGATTACATATTCATACGATCACGACTATTTTTCCAGTTGAGGTAGTCAGAGGCATTGTCAACTGTCAATGTTTTATGCTTCGCTTGGGACTTGGGAATAATTGAACACAATGTGGTTTAATATCGATATTTGCTTTGTAAATTTGCACCTGAAATAATATAACCAATAAAATTTATATAGCAGGCCTTATAGCTTGAGCAATCTCTTCCAAGCAGCCTGTGGTTAGCAAAGACAAGACAGGTGGTGGCCCATGAATGCAATGAAAGAAACGTAAATAATAATAATATATGAAATATATACACATATTATAAATATATACCAATTATACATTGTATATTAACAATAAAATATGTACACATATTATAAATATAATAATATATAAACACGAAAATTGGTTGTGTCATTTTACAGAATTATGTGTAGGGGTATACTGAACCTACTGTCAGTGATAGCTAATGAAGATTGGTTATTGAAGCCTAATTTCTTCAAGAAGTAAAGCGCAAAATTAAAAACATATATTTTAAAACCTTCATCTGCATGGTCTGATCAATTTACTGTGAAAAGTTCAAAATATATTTTGATAGATCCAACATTGCTTGATGACAATTGTCGTTACGTTGTAGTTACATAATTTGTTTTTAATACTTCTATTTTTGCTAATATTTCATTATTATGTACGGAAGGGGTGAAAGGAATTGTTAATAATTAATCGATAAATAGTATTGTTTTAAATATGGGCTGACCTCCATATGGTTTACCCTGGACACCATAAGTTAATCACTAAACTCCTGGTAAATTTGTCACTATAACCTAACTGCCTGACCCCATGCACGTTATCATTATCTACTAGTCTCCCGCCAGCATAAACCGTAAGCGTAGGCGAGTTTTCCATTCCAATATTATTCACTAAAACTTTATACTGGTTATTAATTTGCCTCTTAATTATATTTAATAACTAATTTATTTCAGTAATTGAGGTTATGTACCTCAATTACACTGTTATATAATTCTTCTACGGGGCGGTCTTATCATTCATGCAATCTCTGCCAGACAACTTTTTAGTTGACAAAATATTACCTGAATATAAACTATAACCTTAATATAATATACAAAATTATATTTCAAAATCAAATCCAAAATATCTTTATTCATATGATATATCAAATCTACCGTCAGTTCGGATTGATTTTGAGATGAGAAGACCGAACAAGGAACTCAACTCGTATTCTTTTCAAATGAAAAATGTTTATAATAATACATATATTCAAATCTCATTATGTTATGAGAGAAGCCGAGCGAAGTACTTGATAATTACAGAAATTCCAGCAATTCCATTCCATGGAAGCGGCCAGCGTGCAGTGAATATACCTCTTTCGTAGTGTTCTGTACCTAATCATTACCAGCAATTGATCGTCAATGCTATCTGATAATCGAGAAATGGAACAGAGCGCAATCACAATGAGTTATATTCTGTACTTTTACACGCGAATGTCCGCTTATTTTCAGATAAAAATATGACGGCTTCGGTGACCTTTACTTCCGACGGTCGCAGATTCGATTCCTCGCGTGGTTCAATGTATTAGCGGTTAGTTGTGAAAGGAAAACAAACTGACAATTTCAAATTTATAATCACCTAACCTTCACCAGTGACTTCATCTGCATAAAATTTCATCCCTTCTAGATTATTTTCTAAGGTAAAAGATAGTCTTTGTACTCGTATCGCAATTTATTTTATATAAAATTTGCCGTTTTGTCGTGAAAACGTAAGGAACAAACAGACACTTTAGCATTTATTATATACTAATAAATGCTAAGGTGTCTGTTTGTATAGTATATGTACTTAAATATATACATATATATTAAGTACATATACTTAGTAGTAACCTTTGATATTTTACAAATAAGAAACCTACAAATAATTCTTTAATAAGCTATTTGCATTTTTCACTGCATAGAACTTATTAAAATATTTATATGAAATATATAAGGTATAAACTATTTATATGAGCTTTATATTGAAACTAATATTTATTTGACGAATGAAATGAACAAAAATGACCCAAAACATATTCAATAAAAAGTTGCATCATCAAAAGTTATAGCTTCAAAAATTACGAATCTCCATACAAAGTTTCATCCCCCATTTTATTTCACCACCTTAATTTTAATTTAAGACCTGTGTCTATTTCAAGAGAAAACTATTAAATAACAAAAACCAGATTATATGCATTACTTTTTATTAACAATCATAGAACAATTACAAAATAGTAAGTTTAACAAAAAAAAATCGGTATCAAAAAAATCAGTATCAAAAAATCGTTAGCAAAAAATCGTTAGCAAAAAATCGTCGTAGTTAACATATAATTATGTAGCTGCAGAGATATTAGTCAAATAAGTTGTTGTAATTTTCATTAGTAATCATGGTGCCATAATTATTTATCAGTGATATCACTTGATTCTGGAGAGCACGTACTCGTGTTTCCACAATCTCGAAGTTCTCTTGCAAGTTGTTAACTTGGTATTGCATGCGTTGCCGTATCTAAAACATGAAACATTTATGTTAGACTTATGTATCTTAATCCTTACTAATATTGTAATGTGAAAATAGGGTTGCTTTTTACGCTTTCACGCAAAAACTACTGAACCCATCATCATGAAATTTTGTACACATGTTTTTGGAGATATTAGAATATATTTTTTCCTATTCTTTGTCATGTATATACATTGTATATACTGTATATTTTCACCGTCATATTGAATATACCTTTAACTAAGTAAGCTCCATATGGATACAAACATAGATGCACACAAAATCTGTCAGTATAAATATTAACTTCAAATATCAAAATAATAAAATAGACCAATAGAAATGGCGACAGCCCTTCTGGCCCTTCACGGATCATTTGGCTAGAGGCGACATGACAAAAAGGCAAAATGAAGTAGGAAAATTACATCGGTATCCTATAAATGGAGAAAGAAAGAGGGGTAGGCATATAATGAAATGGAAAAAAAAGTACACTGAAACTTTAACCTATAAAATGTCTATAGAGCACAAGGAAAATGTTTAATAGTGTAGTACATACATTACAGTAATCTTCGTTAATAATATACAATATTAGGTCAAGTATTTATTAATTTCTGATGAAAATTACGGTCTCAAAGGTCCAGCGGTTAAGGTTTAGGCCTTATATTCTGATGGACGCGGATTTGATTCCTCACACGGTGCAAACACTTGTATTAATAAGTTATGGGTGTTTGTATTTACATAAGAAAATGTATTGAAATATTTATGTCAGTTATATCATACACATAACACAAGCTACGCTTATTGAGGATCTACACTGAACTATGTCGTCCAGAACGACAAAAAAAATTGTATTCGTGGGTATTGTATTCGTGGGTACGATAGACCTGACTTCATCCTATCGTCTTCCACTGGTGCCTCGCCGGGTTCTACTGTTAGCAAAAATTATAGTCAAAAAACTGCTTTTAATTGCTAATCAATATAAACTTACCTCATCCCTTTCCTTCTGACATAATCTAGTGAGTGCTCGACTTTTGCTTAGCTCTCTTTCAAGCTCAGAAATCTGACTTTGCATGTATTGCTTCATGGCATCAGCTCGTTCTTTACATTGAATTAAAGATCGATTGGTTTCTTCTTTGATTTCATCTAAACATTTAATTCTATGTGTGTACTGAGCTGTTTTCTCTATAAATGTAGTTTCGAATAGAGTAATCATCTCTTCGATTCTCGAAGTGATATAGCTAAGTATAGAAAAAGAAAAGAAATCCAATTATTATGAGTATTTTTAGCTTAAACAATAAATAAAATATGCACTGCAATTAGTAATGTTAGCAAAAGACTTATGATAAGAATTGTCTTATATTTTTGAAGTATAACTACTTCCGAGCGAAATATACGAGGAAAAAATACAAGAACTAACGGGACGAATGTTAGGCATAGGAGACTGCAACGCCTGTTGTGCTTGATAAAAAACTAATGAACCAATAATGTACTTACCTGTTCTCTACCATTTTCTTATTCAATGCATCTAATTTCTTTTGCTTTTCCTCTATTGTAAGCTTTAGCTGCTTATTCTCTTCGCTCAAATACATATTTTCTGTTTTTTTGTTATTAAGGTTACTTACAGCTTCTGCAAACTGGCAAAATAAAACTTTTTTTAGACTGGATTCCAGTAGTAACGTATGTCATTCTATTGTGTTAGAATGTAGCAATAAACTGCTCCTAGTTTACTTCTAGCATATATTCCACATTCTGAATCAACTTATGTACTTTTAAATTAATCTGTTTCAATATTACTAGAGAATCTTTATAGATACTATTAAATATATTAGTATCAATTCTATTGTGTTGTGTATCGTAATTGTGGTAAATATAAAAAATAGAAAAAATATATATTACGAATTAGTTTAATGAATTGAAAAATAGTGATTTTAAAATAGTGCTCGACTTCAGTTTATTTATCTATCATTTAATATTAGTATACTTCACTAAATAAAACTGACGTTATTTTAAGACATGTTGCTTTATCGAACATCTATATAGTTATTGATATATACACAAGATTAAGTAATTAACGTATACCTTATCTTTTAGTTTCTGCAGCTCACTAGAAAGCTGACGGACATTTTCTTCAGCTAAATGCTGAAATTGTCTTGCCTCTTGATGACGAAGTTTTGCTTCTTTGAGAAAACTCGGAAGAGGCACTAACTCGAGCAGTTTTTCTTGAAACTGCATCTGTGGAAAATTCAAATGTAATGTTATCTACAACTGCAATTTGTTTTTTTATAATATGAAGGTACATCAATACCAAGATGATAATTAAGGTTTAATTTACCTATTATGACGGCCTCTGTGCTCTAGCGGATTAGCACACCGCTTTACTTCCGATAGTCGCGGGTTCGATTCCTCGCACGATGCAAACATTTGTATTCATGAGTATGATTGTGTGTATCGGTCCGAGTGTTTACTAATTATATTACGTATGTATATCAGTTGTAGTACCCATAACACAAGCTCTGCTTACCGTAGGACAAGATGGCGCAGTGTCAATTGTCAAAGGTTAAAAAAATAAAATAAATGAAAGGTTAAAAAAAATGTAATATGTGCCTATTTTTTATTATTTATATTAAATTTTTCATTATTGATAAAAATTTGAAAATTGAGAATAATGGCTTCATACCTTCATACACTGAATTTCGTTTGCAATCTGCTCTGAAACGCGTATATTATCAACCTCAAAGCCGGTTAGTTGGTTTTTCAGTTCTTCTACAAGTTGTTGGGCTTGAAGATACTGAAGAAAAAAACATACTTCACAGATTAAACATACTTATTTATTGGTCTCGGAGTCTTGTCGATGCTACAAGAAAAATAATATAATGCAACCATCCGAGTATACACAGATATTTGAACTAAGCTATTTTGTGTACATATTTTACTCATAGTTTATAAGTTTACTAGCATAATAGCATGCCATATCCGAGACAAATAAATAAAAAAGGCTATATATTTTACATATATATATATATTACTGTAATTATATATCTGTCTCACATTTTTAGCCGAGTGACTTAGTATTTTGGGTTAAATTATAAAGCACGAAGACATAACACCTCAGTATAAAAATACACGTTAATAACAAGTTCATGGAGCCGTTCATGAATAAACGACAGTTGTCCCATACCACCAGCTTGTTTACCAAAATTAGGAGGACAAAATCATATAATATAGTCGAATCCACTAGTTAAATTTCCGCGAGTCAGTTTGGATTGGACCTTGTAATAAATCCTCTGAACAATGCCTTAACGTGCATGATCTCAGTGCACGCCTTTGAAAACTACATTTTGTGTTAACTTCCTTAAAATAAAAGGAATTCATTTATTCCGTAACCTTTTTAAAGGCTTTAGTGACCCAGTTAAAGAAAATTAAATAATTATTTATTATTCATAAGCAGAAAATTAAAAAAGGTACCTTCGTGCGATATTCCTTCAACTGTTCATCTTTTTCAACAACGATTAACTTCATATCTTCAATTTCTTCTCTCAAGTCCTTCATTTTCATTTTAATGTTATAAACTTCCTCTTCAGAAAACATTTGCGCCTCCTATTGTTTAAACAATAATTATTTAATAAGGCGTCGCCACGTGGAAGATTAATAATGTAGATATTACAAGGGAATTTCCATCTTGGTACTCCTGAATCGCCTCGTCTTAAGACGTCGTCTCATCACAAGACAAAACCACGGAAAAAATGTCCGTACACAACGGTTACCATTTACCATAAGGCATACCGTCAGCTTATTTTATAATACATTCCAATTACTTACATATAAAAATATATATTGAATCAAATCAAAATATCTTTGTCTTAATCTATTACAGATTCTTATGATATGTCAAATCTACCATCAGTTCGGAATGCTTTCGAGATGAGAACTAACAAGAAATTCTGCTAGTATTCTTTTCAAATATGGTTGTACTTGTTATTTTAATTAAAATTTGAATGAATAGAATAACCACCGGTATATGTAATGGCAATTCTGTCGAAGACAAATGATGTAATCAGTGTTCGTAACCCTAACAGCACCCGTTATAATAACCCAGTATTTTAATGCAAAAGTATTTCTGTAATCACCGGATACATCTATAAGCAGTGGACTAATTTAGATATCATGATAGTGAGAAAATATTTATTTCAATTATCAGTGGTTTAAAATTCAAAAGTGTAATCTCTATACTGTACTGGGCGGTAGGAGAAAAAATATACTCAAAAAAAAAAAACTTGACATACATAAGCGGCTAAAATATCCTGTATGAATTAATGATTTTTAATGACTTAATGAATTTCCAGTGATGAAAACTAAGCATATAAAGCAAAGGCTTTTACCAAAACGTAAACGATCTGTAGTATATCTGATTTCATCATTCATGTAATCCCCATCAGGCATTAGAGTCGTGAAGGTAGTAATAGGTCTATACATTCAAATCATCTACTACGAGTCGTAACAGTCGACAGTGTGCGGCCACGTGAATGATGGAAACTACAATACTATTACGTCAATAATTAGTGATACTGATTATGAAAATTAAATACTAATTAGGAACTTCGTTTTTCCATTGACAATTAATCACTAGCGTGTGCCAATGTTTACACTGACAAGTTATTTTCCACTTTAATAATGATATCTGTTAGATAATAATGAACATCATGCAAATCATTTAAGAAAAAATGCATTTGTTGCATAATACATTGTAGATACTAATAAATATAGTTGAATTACAATGTATTTTGTACAATACTGATTGTAATTTTGCCACGTGTTTGCTGGATACTTTTTTTCTTTATTAGCCCGAATTGCAATACTAATGTGATGTTTATTTATTCAGTTCCTTTCGAACAGATTAAATAGAAAAAATAAATATGTTAAGGAACTAGTCTTATAAGTAGCGAAAATTAACTAAAAAAATAATCTAATATCAAAATCTTTAAGACCATTTTTGTGTATGGGGGCGAGATGAAAAAAATGAGTTCCAGTGAAGTCTTAAAAATACGAGAAAATTCAATTTAAAAAATTAAATAATAAATTTAAAAATGGCCGTCATACAGAGGAGTCAGGGGTGAGACCACCTATGTATAGTATTTTGTCGATAAAATATAATATACGACCCACGCCACGTAGCGGCGTGGGTCAATTATCGGAAACGTGATCCTAACCTAACCTAACACAATGTGTAAAAAAGTGGGTAAACGCATTAAATTACTAATGAAATTTATAGAAACTGAGTTACAAATATTAATATCACTTTTGTAATATCTTATTTTTTAATTATAGCTAATATTTTCATAGAGCTAAGAACACGATTAACAAAATTGATGATCTTATCGACTACAAAATCAAAAATAATGGAAGCTGTGAAATAAGAAATTGAAAACAAATTCTTGTATTTGAATTGCATAATAATTTCACATAATAATTGCTACTTCTACCTATAATGTACACGTATTACATCTTATGGCATCCACGCTCGCAGCCCCAAGATAGATCTGACCTAGTTTGGGGTCTGATAGAAAAATATATAATAATCTATTGTAGTAATTAAATCAAATAAATAACTATATGATTTGAAATTAGGTTTGAAAACTGGAAAGGCAAATCCTTTTCTTCGGTCGGCCATTTCGAGCGGCCATATTAACCACGAGGATTCTTTAAATATCCATAATCATCCCGTCACCAGCATGCAAATAGCGAACACGTGATGATTAAAAGATATTTCTATCAACATAAAAAGACAATAGTTGTAATATTTTTATTATTTCTTACCATTTTTATACTTTTTGAATTTGGAGATTTGAAAAAATAATACAGCACTGCAGGACCCGCTGCGACGCAAAGTGAACGACGATGTGATTCAAAATGGTGGATGTCTCAGTATTTAAGCGCAATACAATTTAAACATACCCGCAATTAATTTGTAAAATTAGTTTTACAAAATAATTGCGGGTATAATCAAATCAATCTTACGTTTATGTTTGACATATAGATTAAGCTCAAAATTGAACAGAATTCATATAGCGTAGACTTTAGAATAGTCAATATTTTTGGTTATTACCTAATTGTAACATTTTTTTAGTTTTACCACATACAAAGTAAATTATAGTTGCATCTTTTACAGAGATATCTAATGAATAAACATAATACCTAAATGTAAATTATGGTAAGGCCTGGTAAAAAAAATGCAGTTAGTTTCCATTTCCGTTTCCAAATATGTCAAAATTCATATGTAATTCTTTAGGTATATTAAAGCTCACATGAGATATAAATCACATGAGAATTATATCTCATGTGATTCCTTATATATTCGATCGAAATGTAATGTGTCCTGAACAAGATATTATTTCAAGGTGTATAATTTTCTAAACGTAATATGTACGTTAGTTTATCTATGTTTCATAGAATATACTTGCCTTACTATCGACCTTAGTTTCAGTACCACAAATGCTATAGAGTTTCTGTTCTAAATCTTTTAGTCTGCCTTCGTACTTTTCTCTGAGAAATCTCTCCTGATCAGCCACATTTTTCACTCTTATAAGCTCTTCTCGAAGCCTAGAATACTGTGTAGATAGCCACAATTAAAAAAAAACATAAGTGGTCTAATGATTTAGCACACTCTTATAGGGGTAGTTTTTTTCTTGTGGATGATAATGAAATGGTGCACCCGCCTGCGCTAACGGTTTACGCTAACGGGACACTAATGGAGGTTGATAAAATGAACATGAGGTCAGGTCAGTATCCAGGGGGAACCGCGTGGAGGTCAACCTGACATGGTGCATTGCTAGTAATGAGGTCATTAGTCCAGTAATGTGGACATGATCCCCTTCAGCCCTTTATCGGGGTAGTTACGGGTTCGATTCCCGCACAAATGTTTAGTATTAGCATGTTTGTTTGTTAGTCTGTGTTCTACTAACTCGGTTTCGTTTGGGAGTAATGAGGCAAATGGTGTTGTCCAGAGATTTATATGGACCTGAAGCTTATTTACTTCATTATCTGAACCAGATGGGTGCTAGTTTCTAACAACTAATAATATTTTAGGCCAATTCACATTCACATCTAGTCCGAAACTAAACAAAGCCTTGTTACGGGAAAAATAGACAACTGACACTAATTGATCGATTTTTATTTGTAAATACACAGATAATATACATAGAATACACCTACGATACAAACAGTTATATTCATGAATACAAATGTTTGTACCGTGCTAAGAATCGCACCCGCGACCATCGGAAGTAAAGCGATGTGTTAATCCGCTACACCACCGATGCCGAATTAAATATTTTTAGCTGACTACGTCATATCAAACCTCTAGCTCGGGATGACCAGGGTAATCACCACAACTGTCTTCATTAAAGTCTGTCTTCATTTTATTATTATTCTCAATTCCAGTTTCTTTTGTTATTTCTTGATATCCCTAAATAAAAATGACATATCTTAATAAAACTCAAAATATATAAATTTCTACACTAACAAACAGTTTTGCTAAATAGCTGAGGCCGTGACTATTAACATGAACTCTTCGGAAAAAAAGCAACAAAACAATTTCAGCCTAAATGTAACAGAAACTAAAACATAGCTTTTGTTATTACTTTAATAAAAACCAGAATAGTACTTTTTCTCATATATCCTGCATGTTCTTGTACAGTCAACGATAAGTATTTTTTTATTAGGTATATATAGGTACATAAGAGTTTAACAACTAACCGATATTCCTTTATTCTGACTTTTACTAACTAAATCTAATCTGTCACGTTTAATAGCCGCCAATTCCATTCGGATTTCTTTGACTTCATCCTCCATCTCTACGAGTTGTTTTTGCTTTAAAACAAAATATGAGTGCTCTAAATGGAAATGCTCAACTGTTACGAATACTTTGACTATATTGCTGAAATTGTGCTTCTGGCTGCATTAACTGTATACGCTGACGGGACATAAGTGAAAGATTTAGGTGCGTTAAAGCATTGTCAATTCTCAAGGAATTAACTCCAATTATTTGCAATGCATGGTTATGATCGGTCTTAGTTTATTGTTAACGTCAGAACGACAATTTTCAACCCGTGGCCCACTGGAAACCTTCTATCCATTACTTTCTGGTCAATTAGACGCGACGACATACAACACTTGACTTCATGCTCATCCTTTCGTCGTACACAGATCAGCATATACTTAGATACCGATACCGCAAGCGAATAGCCTATGTCATTAAAATGACTTTATAATCTAGAGATACATACTAATAACGATGAATTTACAGTGTCAACATTTTCCGATGCCTTAGATATAATAAATGGGCAATCTGATTGAGGCATTAACATTATTATATTTTTATCATTTAATAAAATTTACAATATTATAAATTAATAATACAATATTTAATTTAAATCGTAGTATGTATAACGTTTAATTCAAAATGTTTACAGACTAACAGTTTACAATTATCATTTGACTTTGTCATCATTGTAAATTTTCTTTACACATTTTATGGCTTTTGTAAATTGCGACTGAAAACCGCATACAGTTTTTCGTCCCATTTTTCAAACGGATACTTTTAATTTAGTCCTATGTTATAAGGTATCTAGAATATGATTTTTAATGAATATGAATGGTGGTGACGTTAGTCATAATAGTATGTGCTTAGGGACCAGTTTGGAATGAAAGGACATGGAATAAAAAAAACATTTATAGTCCTGGTGCATTTACAAGGAATTAACCCGATGACGCACTTTTAATTCTCCAGGTCTTGTAGGTGTTCACTTACAATCAGGTGAGTCGCAGGCTCGTTTGTCCCCAGCTATTAAAAAAAAACGTTTGAGAGGTGACCACGTGGACCTACGGTTACCTTTTACCACCGCTCGCCATCAACAAGAAATTCATACCTACAACCTAGAAAACCTGAGTTTCCCACCATCATAGACCACCTATCCCACAAAACACCGAAACTTATCGAGTTTTATAAGACTTCATCCTCAATACTATAAGGACTCTCTAGTAGTACCTAGTAATAAATATGGTTCCCCCAGGAAACCATCATGTTAAAATACTGGTGAATACCCCAATGGCTTAACCTCATAGTCATGTTATCACCACTGGTGGCCCGCATGCGTAAACCGTCAGTGTAGGTGTACCATTCCATTATCATCCATAAGAAAAAAATATTAATTATTTGGCTGAAAGGAAATTTCCAGGGCCGTAAAAATACTATACGTAAATAAAAGGTGGCTTTATTTATTAAGTATTTTTACGGCCCTGGAAATTTCCTTTCTAGGATTTTTTTTTTAAATTAACAAATACTAGGTCCAAGGCATTATACATTTATATCAGACAATAGCCCTTAAATCATTAAATAAATAGAAAAATGAATTAATTGATATGATCTCTAATGTCATTCCCATGTTCTGTAGACATTTATTATCTGTGCTAACTAAACTGTCACTTTTCTCTATGCAGTGCAGTAATCTGTGCTGTCACTGGAAAATGTAATGCTATACTATATTCCCTTAATTTTTAATAGAAATAATTTTAAAAATAATTTTATTTCTTATTAAAGATACATATATAATTAATATGTAAATAATTTGTACATTGAGATATATTTATTAACATCTATAAAAATAATTAATTTAATTTTTGCACAGTTAATCTGAAATAGTTTTATGAGGACGTGGAACTAGTCTTCTGTCTGAATATCTAATACTTAAACTGGAAGAAGACTACTCAGTGATGGACGTTTCTTCTATATATTAATGGTAAGCCTCCTACAATAATTTTTAACCATTTCTCATTAAAAGATGACCGCTAACCCTTCTCTTCTGCATTTGAAGTGTTTAGAAATAAATACAAAACGATGTACTCTGAATGTTTATTGAAAAAAGTTAAAGAGCAAGAGAGAAAAAATGTATTGTCAATATTTTTTCAATTTCGTCATTTTTTTTTATCTATATGTAGATAGATATATTATACAATTAATATCCTTTATTTATAATGAGAATAAACTAATAAATTACAATAATTTATATACTATGGCTTTAAAAAAAAAGTAATTCAATTGAGTTTCTTGCCAGTTCTTCTCAATTGGATCTATATACCGAACTGGATGGTAAGGAAAAAAATATAGTGTAAAAACTTGACGTTCATAAGCGGCTAAAATGTCCTACATGAATAAATTATTTTTTAATTTGTTTATGTAAATAATTATGAAAAGACAGTTTTATAAGAAGGAATAATGTTATTTAATGTATCAAAGGTAAAGGAGCTAACAGAAGAATAGTAATGTTAATATAACATTTTTCTGTATCAAAAAATAGACAATAAAAGCTTTATTACATAGTATAAAATAAAGTCGCTTTTGCTGTCTGTCCCTATGTATGCTTTTTTTTTATATCTTTTTGTTCTTGGCTCACCATGTATTAAATTAAATCTTTAAAACTACGCAACGGATTTTGATGTGTTTTTTAATAGATAAGAGTGATTCTAGGGGAAGATGTACATATATAATAATACATGTACACCCGTGCGAAGCTGGACATAGTGGTCAGTAAATAATATATAATAAGGTCTGTTCTACCTAAATGGATTTCTGCAAAATAGTACCTCATTATATATATATATATATATGTATTTGGACCTACTTTTCTACATTCTATCTCGTATTTGGAACATTGAGTATGTTTAAGAAAGTAGTGCCCACCCATTTGTCATAATTAAAAAATAATTTAAATTATAGTTATGACATTCAGTATGACTATAGACAGTAACTACTCGGTGGACTTATATTATTTTGTTTAATTCTGCTACAATTCACATGTGTGAGACTACAAATTTTCGGTGTAGAAACCGGACCAGCGCTATGACCATCTCCAGTGGCGATCAAATGCGTCCGTTATTGGGTCTACATATAGACTCAGTAACGGTCGGAGGTCATATTAAACAAAATAATATAAGTACATCGAATAGTGAAATGGACTTCAATGGATTCCAATGGATTTACTGTAATTGAGCAAAATTTCAGTCTGCGCAATTTGCATACTCCTCCATAGGACAATTTCTGTAAAATAGGGTACAACGACTCCATACTAATTTAAAGATTGTTTTGAATTTGAATTGAATTATTCCAAAGTACATAGGATATTATTGTCCATACTAATCTTGTAACTGGGAAAACATATTTATTGAAACAACAGACAGACACACTGTCACATTCATATAGATTTCATGATGCTGCTTTTAACTATAAATTTAAAAACCTGATCAATAGTACTGGAAACAACCCTCAGCATTGTCATCCAAACTCTCAAACTTTAATTTTGAACAACTTTATAAAGATTTTGTAATAGATCTTTCCGGAACAAAAACTCGAGTTCATTTGGCAATTGATACATTCACTTAGATAGTCTCTTAATACCTATTGCCCTAGTGTGTCTAGGGTAATCTCTGTCAGGCTGTACTGTCAGTTAGTAAAATGTATGTTATTTCATTTGTTAACCTGTCCTATTACAATCAAATTATTTGTTTATTATTGTACTGTCACTTAATGCATACTCATTATTGTTTTTAATACATATTCACATTCCTTCAAACCAATAGATATTTATTTTGATACAGTTTTATCTATACATATAAATAAAATTGATCTTTCTGTTAGTAATATTGAAATAACCGTTTTTTACTACATGCATACGAATATATATACGGTACATACAACCAAATTTTTACAATTTTTGCTATCTGTTTGTTTCTAGCCGGAACTATGATATGGCTGGACCGATTTTGACAGGACTTTTTTTCGCAGTTAGCTGAAATAATAAGGTACTCCTTATTATATCAGCTACATGCGAAGTTAAGTAAAGTTACTACTTAGGGTACTTTTATTTTAGAAAACTTAAGTTAAATTCCATGTGGACAATGTAACCTGTACAGCTAGTTTAACATAAAATCTAAAACAGCTATGTATATACAAATTCACATATCTGTTTCTAGATGGTTACTGTTGATAATGAGTTACCTACCCCACCACAAATTGCAGAGTAGATTGTAAATATATGAGAACATCATTTCGTTCTATTGCAGTATTATCTAACTTAAGATATATGCTATGTGACTAACAACCTTATGTACATGCATATAATGCTACCATGATTTTTAGTATGTTATCAAACATTTTACTGGGTAGAAATTGAGTTATATTGTTATTTAAAGAAATAAATTTAATCAAAGTAAATTAAATAAATTGTCATATTTTTTCTAGTTGTGTCTGTTTCTTGCTCATGCTTCTTGTAATGAGTTTGCATTCCGAATGAGTGGTAGAATTTATTCTACCACACATTCGGTTTTTTTTTTTATAAGTGTTTGATTATTTACTGCTTTTAAGCAGTAAATAATCAAAAACTTATGTTAAATGCATTTGAATAAAGATTATTTCTATTTCTTAATAATTTGATTCTTAACATATTTCATATCAGTTTTTGCAATATTACAATGTCAATATATAATATATTATTCCTTAAGTTAATATTAGCCATTAAGTAATTGCTGAATATACTGAAGAATATACGTATTGATAACTAGCTGTACCCGGGACTTCATCCGCGTGGAATTTAACTTTATTTTTCTAAAATAAATACTTTTCTAAAATAAAAGTAACCTAAGTTACTCCTTATTACATCAGCTACCTGCCAATAAAAATTCCGTCAAAATTGGTCCAGCCATTTCAGAGATTAGCCGGAACAAACAGACAGACAGACAAATATTGTAAAAAATGTTCTTTTGGTATATGTACAGTATTTATATTCATATGCATGTAATAAAAAACGGTTATTTCAATATTACAAACAGTCACTTCAATGTTATTTATATGTATAGATAATTAACTTTATACAAGCTATGAATCTCAGTATGATAGTAGTGAGCTAAAGACTTTTTAAGAAAACTCAGTTGTGGCAATTTGAATTGACTTGTTATAATGATATTGTATATATTTCAGATGTTGGAAATGGCTGTGGTACATTACTGTGTGAGGAGATAAATACACACTTTCAACATGAAACAGCCAGTGCTAGAAACTCAGATAGACTTCAATGGACACCAACAATTAGTTCCTGAGAAATGGAAGTCAGATAGTCCAGATTTGGTCGCAGATCAAAACCAAGCAATATTATTGTCACACAGAAAAATTATAAGGGTAAGTTGATAATCTGTACTAGAATTATAAATACGACGGCCCTGGTGGTTTTTTACTTCTGATGGTAGCAGGTTCGATTCCTCGCACAGCACAAATATTTGTATTCATAAGTATGATAGTTTGTTTCGATCTGGGTGTTTTCTATATATAATATGTATGTATAATAATATATATATTATGTATGTATATATTATTTTAAATATATCTATGTATTTGTATCAGTTATCTAAACCTATAACACAAGCTTAACTTGAGTCTAGATGGCGCTGTGTGAATTGTCCAGAGATTATTATATTTGTTTTTTTATTTATTTATATAACTTTAATGCACACAGTACAAAAGTAACAGTACATTTGGCGGACTTAACACCATGCGGTATTTTCTACCAGTCAACTATAGGCAGTACAGAGAAAAATTGTTGGCGGTGCAAAAATATCATAACAAAAAAAAAATAAAAATCAAGGCATAAAAAATGATATAATAATATTTATACTATTACATTTACAATAATACATAAATAGAAACATATATATACATTTACACACATACATATACAAATAAGAAATATATAATATGATATACAAATACTACTCATACACAATACCTAAACACTATGAATACATACCAAACAATCTGACAGTTAAACCACAGAGAATAAAAAGAAAAATATAAGGTAAAGAGAAACGAGAGAAAAATAAAATAAATAATAAAAAAAAAACAAACTATTATTTATGTTATTATTAAAGCTGAGGTATTTTTTGCTAGAATAGACTAATTTCGGGAACAACTGGTACGAGTTCTTCTTTTAGTGTCGGATGGCCGATTTATCTGACTAATATTATAAACACGGAAGCTTGTGAGTGTGGATGGATGTTTGTTATTCTTTCATGCAAAAACTACTAAATGGATTTTAATGAAACTACAATAATATAGCATATACATCAGAATTATTTGATTCATTCCAATGATTGTACAAGCTCTAAAATAACTTAAATCGTTGTATAGGCTGACTTTTGACCTTTCTTTGACTTTTGATCTTGATCTTGATTTATTAATAAAGTATTTATTTAATCAATTGACTGAACAATTTCAAGAATTATATGCTAGCAGAGTTTCAGAATAATTTAAAGTAGTTATGACGTAGTCAAGTCTAAAACATCCAGATATACTGCTGCGCAGTAGTCTAGGTTATTAGGACGTAGGATATAGTTGTCGCAATGATGACTGACTCATCCGTCGCACTTGTGAATGCATTTATTGACAATTTGAAGCCCTTGGATGGTCTATTATATTTACAACTACCTGTACCCGCGATTTCGTCCGCGTGGAATTTAACTTTATTTTTCTAACCTGAAATATTTTTTCTAAAATTAAACAGTAGCCTATGTTACTCCTTATTACATCAGTTACCTGCCAATAAAAGTCTAGCCATTTCAGAGGTTAGCCGGAACAAACAGACAGACAAATATTGTAAAAAATGTTATTTTGGTACCGTAATGATATTCATATGCATGTAGTAAAAAACGGTTATTTCAATGTTACAAACAGACACTCCAATTTTATTTATATGTATAGATGAATAGACTGGAGGTTTCATTCGCGTGCATACGCAGATGAACTCGCGTTTGTAGTACTCATCTATTGACGAAACAGTGTTATTTGTTATTTTATTAATAACTTAATGAATAATAGTAGACGGCATATTTCATTTAAAAAGAAGAAATATAAATTTACCCCTTTTAGGGATATTGTTCTAATATTGATTAACAAAAAAATCTGTGATAATTTCATACGAATTCCTCCAGTAGTAGTTAAATATCTTAACACATATATAGACAAAGAGGCTCTTTGCCAGTGATCTGTGACTCCACTCGAATTTTACGTATTGCCGTTATGATTGTGTGCCATATACCATATTCACATAAAATGTAATATTTTTCAACGTTTGTTTAAAAGTGCAACGGTTTCCTTTTTGCTCATTCTTCTCAGCTGACTTTCTGTTGAAGCCTGAATGTTATTGTAGAATAAAAAATATTGTAAGGACTAAGTATACTTAAGTGCTTATGTTAATTGTACAGATAAAGTAAACAGGATATTGACTGTGGTAATATTATTTATAAGTTCCATAAGTCGGGAGCTGTTTGAATAGTGGTCAAAATTCGGCTATTATTAATTTTAATTATAAATTTCAATATTATTATGGTTTTATTGCCAAAGGCTAAAGTGCGTGTGTGTTAAATAGAATACAATGCAAAAAAACATTACACACACTACGAGTGTGTGTAATGTTGTATAATTATAGTGTGTAATAATTTTTAATTGCAATAATGTATTTTTAAGCATTATTTTAATTTTTTTTAAGAGCAGTATATTCGCAGATTTCATATTCGTTCGTAATTGTAAACTTTCCATTAAGAGGCCTATTACAAAATGATGCCGCTCAACTTTAGGTTTAATCGCATGGATTTACGCACACATACAGTAATACACGCACACAGACGCAAATAACCGTGTAGCTCAATCGGTGTGGATTTAGTATGAACCATTTTGATCCTTGTAATATTTTAATTAATAATGTGATATGTTTCTACTTAACTGAGACTACTTATTGGATTTTTTTAAATAACGTTATTTATCTTAATTATCAAAGTGCTAATAATGACCATATTTTTTTATTATATTATTCCTAGAGGGTTGATGTCAGGATGCTGGCCGATTGTACAACTAAAAGCCAAAACCTTAAGTAATATGAGTAACAAATAATTGGGATAAGGACAGGAAGATGAAATTACTATAACATAAATTTACTAATTAATTCTTCTTACATATTAATTCAGTTTATTTAGTAATAGATACAATATAATTTATTGTAAGAGTCGGATACATTATTGCCATATTCACTTGTTCTAAATATTATACCACAGATAACATAATATTACATACAGATACCCCATCCCATACAAGAAAATGGTTCCTTCCTAACTCGGGCTATTCTTCGGGCTATTTTATTTCGCCACCGTAGCCGCTAGATGTCGCTAGATCTGAAGCAGTTCGGATTACTAGTGGGTGCTTAGTAACAAAGCATGAAAATAGATGGCAGTGAATTCAGTCTACATGACATCTGTTTTGCAAAGATATGTATATAATAGATATGTAGGTAACTGTATCGTGTACCTCATTAGGGACGATTCAAGATTCAATGTAAATGTGTAGGTATAATATCGTTAGCCGACACTCTGCAGATATGGCTTATGTGCCAATGTATATACCTATTGTGTTATGGTTTATTTTACATTCCATGCCTATTTTTTTTGATATGTTGTAACGCGTCTGCGCTATACGTATAGCCTGATTTTGATACGTTTATACTCGTACGTATCAAAATCGGGCTATACGATTTTTTATTTCAATCGTTATATGTATGAGACTGATTTTAGCTACAATTAATTTACTGGTATATACCTCATGTATTCTACGATGTACCCCTCTTTTACCTAATGAGAATTCCGCTATATCTTATATATAAATTTTGTATCACAGTGTTAGTTGCCATATTTCTCTCACATTTTGATGAAATTTGATATGTATACTTCCCAGGTCTGAGGTAGGGTTGTTATCTATTTTTTATACCCCTAAGTCATAGGGGTGGCCTACCCCGAAAAAATATTTTTTTGTATTATGGACAATTTTTTATTTATTTATAATGTTACATTGAAAATACATACACGCCTAAATTTTCACCCGTCTTTCACCAACCCCTATTTTTAATAGCGATATTCTTACAAATATTATAAATGCTAAAGTAACTCAGTCTGTCTGTTTGTCTCGTTTTCACGCCAAAACTACTGAACTGATTTAATTGAAATTTGGTAGACAGATAATGTAGACCCTGAGAAAGGCTACTTTTTAATGCGAAAAAGTATTGAAAGGGGAAATGAAAGGCTATATGAGGATATCGTAATTTTTAAAGTCAGATCTTGTAAGATTAAGTGAACAGGGTCGGTCTAGGTTTTTCATTATTAGAAATGTGTAACGGGGTAACACGTTATTTAGTGCGAAATTGTGTATATTACAATAAAATTTAACGAGAAAATATTATAATGATATCACTGGGACACTCATTGCCTTACTACTATATCGTCGCGAACTTTCTGGAAACACGAGAGGCGCTATCCTATTGGTCGGTCGGCGCGGTTACCGCGCGTAGATGAGTAGATGAAGTACTTAGACGAGTCTCACGGCGCCGCAGCGTAAGTACTTACTATACATACGTAGTATACATATGGGTATTACAAATGTTTTTATTACTAGTAATATTACTCTGTTATCTAAGCAAGTAATGTGTGCTTATTTTGAACTTGATAACATTCTGAATTACTCGTATATCTTTCAATATCTTTAGCGGTATAAACCAGGTTATGTACTACTACTAGTATTGATAGTGAGGGATAAAGTTGATGAACAAAAATAAAACAATATTCGTATTAAAAATATATTCATCTAATATTTTTGGCATTATTTTTAAGTTTCTTCCAAATATAAGGGGTCTGACATGGGGTGTTATGTACCTACATTAAAAAATACTTTTTGAAATGTATGAAAGAAACGTATTGTATGAAATTTTTGAAATGTGTGAAATGTATGCACCTACATTAAAAGATAATTTTTGAAATGTATGAAAGTAATGTATGTACCTACATTAAAATATAATTTTTGAAATGTATGAGATGTATGAAAGAAATGTATGTACCTACATAAAAAGTTCATTTTTGAAATGTATGAAATGTATGAAAGAAATGTATGTACATTAAAATATAATTTTTGAAATGTATGAGATGTATGAAAACAATGTATGTACCTACATAAAAAGTTCATTTTTGAAATGTATGAAATGTATGAAATAAATGTATGTACCTACATTAAAAGATATTTTTGACATGTATGAAATGTATGAAAGAAATGTATGTACCTACATTAAAAGATAATTTTTGACATGTATG